TGTGCATATGACAATAAACGCTTTGAATTGAATTGAATTTGAATTGAATTGAAAAAAAACAACAAACCTCTTCTAAAGTCACGTCTTCTTTCCAGTTGCCCACACGGACGCGCGGATTATAGGTCCGGACATGAGCCATTTCACAGCCGCCGTAAAGCCAGCCAGACAAATAATTGGGAAAATGTAATTTATAACGCAAAAGGAAACTAAATGCGCCTACTGCAGCCTGCAGGCAAGAACTGTTACCATGGATGCGTAACAACAAATGTGAGCTACTGCGCTTGCGTGTGTTACGTTTCCAAGGTAACAAGTTCGTCCTTTTGCCGCCAGTTAGATTTTTTTACAGTCGCGAACTTCAATTTTAAAGCAACTGAAAAAAATAATGCCTTAAAACTCTAAATTAATTTAAAAATTAACATTTAATTAGGCTATATATTAAGTTGATTTACCCCCTTTAATTTAATTTGTTGTCATTAAATTTTAAATGCAGCAAATTTAAATAATAATTTTAATTACAAATGAATTATTTTAAATACATATTTTAGTAATACCTCCCTTTTTTATGTAACATTTAATCACCATTTAAAAATACAATACTGGCGTCCTGCAGTAATACATCAACTAATTTACCTTCAGATTAATTTGCTAATTGTCATTTATTAAGGTTTCTAAGAGTTGACTGGCTTAATCTCAATGTTCACTGTTGTTCACAAGGTATATGGCATTGAGGTGAATATCTTCCAATAAAAACAAATTGAAATGTATACATAATAGGCTGAATTTATAGAAATTCATTGATTAAATGAACACATCAGTCAAACACACACAAATGAGCAAAAAAAAATCAATTATGCGAAATGATCTAACAATTCATCATTCTTCATATTAATATCTTTTATATGAAACTGGCTTTTCTAATTAAATTAGCTCACTCTTCAAAGTTTCACTGGAATCAATTTGCGTGCGATCTCTATAATGAATTTTGCAGCATTATCAAATATGAAACCAAATCACTTTCACAATACTGTATGTATGCAGAGACAAAAAGGCAGTGGAGATTTTAGATAAACTACATTAGAAGGAAGCCTCATTTGAGATTGAGAGACTGTGTGTAAGTGCAGTAAAGTGCTTTCACGTCAATAACGGAACTGACAGATCATAAATAGATAATACACGTTTATGAGAGCTGTGCTCTGAAATATTAAAACTGCATTGGGAAAAGCAGCAAGCAGGAGTGTGCAAAAGCATTGATGATATGTGACCCTGTCTGTGAAATCAAGGCTAAAGTCTCCAAATTTAATTATGAGATAACAAGCATCAAAGTTTGATTTCAACCATTAATTTCACTATGATTTCAATCTTTGACATGGCCTTATCAGCCAATATTAAAGATATAAAGGTTATATTTTCACAGAATGTTCTACATCATCATCTGAAGGATGATTGTATGTAGAAAACAGTAAATCACAAAAAAATGA